GACCCACCGGCGAAACCGGCAGAGCAGACGAAGCAGCTGGCGACTCCGGCATCACAGACCGGGCCGATGGCGAGCTCGGCATAGTGGGCCGTGGCGCGGCCGGTGTCGCGGGCCGATCCGCTGATGAAGGCGACGTGAGGACCCGAGCCGCGGGCGAAGACGGCGTGACGGGCCGAGCCGCAGGCGAAGACGGCGTGACGGGCCGAGCCGCGGGCGACTCGGCGGCCGCTGGCGAAACGAACCGAGCAGTGGAGATGCTCGGCGCGACGGGCTCGTCGGGTGACCATGCATGGGCACGCGAATCGATGCCATGCAACATAGGGCGATCGACGTGCCCACCAGAAGACGACGATGATGATGGTGAATCCTCCAACAGCTCCAAACGAGCTCCACGTCCGGTTCCTGCACCATGGTTAGGTAACAGCAAAGGAGAGTATGCAACATCATCAAATTGGTCAGAAGCAACAGAGGATGAATGCAGGGATGATGGTTCGACAGTGGACACAGGAAGGTTGGCAAAGGGAAAAACATGCTCATCAAACACGACGTCCCGAGATATATAGACACGATTAGTGGGAACATGAAGACATTTGTAACCTTTATGAAGAGAGCTATAGCCAAGAAAAACACACTTCTTAGAACGAAACTCAAGCTTGCGCTTGTTATATGGACGAAGATGCGGCCAGCAAGCACACCCAAATACCTTGAGAAAGGTATAATCAGGTTGTTCATTAAGGAGAACCTCAATGGGAGTCTTCATGTTTAAAACACGAGTAGGAGTACGGTTGATGAGAAAGCATGCAGTGGTAAAAGCATCACTCCAAAACCGAAACGGAACAGATGCATGGGCCAAAAGAGTAAGACCAGCTTCAACAATATGACGATGCTTACGTTCGACTGAACCATTCTGCTGATGTGTATGTGGACATGCTAAACGATGAGCTATCCCAAGCGACTGAAAGAAAGAGTTGAGGTTGCGATACTCGCCCCCCCAGTCTGACTGGACATGAACAATTTTGTGCTTGAGAAGACGTTCAACATGTTTTTGAAACTGAACAAAAATATCAAACACATCAGATTTGCGTTTAATAAGGTAAAGTCAGGTAAAGCGACTATAAGCATCAACGAAACTGATATAGTAATTATGACCACTGACAGAAGTCTGAGCAGGACCCCATACATCTGAAAACACAAGTTTTAAAGGATGTTTCACCTCACGACTGGACTCCGAAAAAGGAAGTTGATGACTCTTCCCCTGCTGACAAGCATCACACACTGCTACATCTTTATGACTAGACAAACTAGGAAGCTCATGACGACGCAAAATATGACGGACAATAGGTGTGGCCGGGTGACCAAGACGAGCATGCCACTGTGACGGAGAGACCCGAACTCCACTGAAAACACGAGCGACACCAGGATGCTCCAGACGGTAGAGGCCCTGGCACAACCGCCCACTAAGAAGAATGTCCCTCGTGCCCCGATCCTTAATAAAAAGATCAAAAGGGTGAAATTCACAAAGCACATTATTATCACGTGTGAGTTTAGGAACTGAAAGAAGATTACGGGTCACAGATGGAACTCGAAGAACATTGCGAAGCTGAAGACTCCTATTAGCATGTCTAGTGAGAAGAGATGCTTGACCAATATGAGAGATGTGCATACCTGCTCCATTGGCGGTGTGGATCTTGTCGGAGCCATGATAGGGTTCACGAGTGTGAAGCTTCCCCATCTCGCTGGTTAGATGCTCTGTCGCCCCAGAGTCCATGTACCAGTGTGGATCGATGGAGTAGGACTGAGTGTGTCCCTGTTGCTTCTGCGGCGCGGGACGATCAGCCATGGCGACCTGACGGGCATTGTTGCGTGTATCTTTCCCGTCATTGCCAAGACCAAGGAAGCTTCGCTGGAAGCGCTTATGACACTTGGAGGCCCAGTGCCCATCGCGGCCACAAAGCTGACACACACGTGGACCGCCAGCCCCCGGTAAGGTCGCAGTAGGTGGGGCGGCGTTGGCCGAGAGGGAGCCAGTGCCCCTGGTGCGGCGAGTCTCGACCCGTTGCTCAGTGAGAAGGAGCCGAGAGAAAACCTCGTGTGCCAGCATGGGTGTCAAGTTGCCCCACTCGTTGATGATCTCGACTAAGGCATCATACTCCTCATCAAGACCATTGACAATAAACGAGTTGAACTCGGAGTCGGTGAGGGGCTGTCCAATGGAGGCCAATGTGTCGGCGAGGCCCTTGACCTTGTTGTAGAACTCAGTGGCAGTGGAGTCAAGCTTCTGACACTCTCCAAGCTGACGACGGAGTGCAGAGACACGAGCCTGGGACTGCGCTGCAAAGGTGCGCTCAAGGATGGTCCAGGCCTCATGAGACGTCTTCGCGAAGACAACAAGGCCGGCAACTGCCGGCGAGAGCGACCCCTGGATGGAGGAGAGGTTCGCCTGGTCCTGCCCCGTCCAGACGCGATGGGCCGGATTGTAGACCGGACCGTGCACGCTGTCTACCAGCGCGGGTGGGCAGGGAAGCGATTCGTCGACGTAGCCTAGCAGGTAGTGACTCCCCAAGAGCGAGAGAACCTGCGCACGCCAGAAGATGTAGTTGTCGGCGGAGAGCTTGATGGTGATGAGATGACCGAAGTGAAACGGCGGCGGCGAAGACAATCCCATCGAGGAGGCTGCCTGGGGTGCAAACACCATGGAGGCAGCCGGAGGCACCGAAGCCGATGCGGGAGGAGGCGGGACCGCAGCCAGGGCGGGCGCCGCAAAGCTCGCGGCCGGTGCGGACGCCGCAAGGCCCGCGGCCGGGGCGGACGCCGCCAACCCCGCCAGCGGGACAGTGTGATCCGCTTGCGGCAGGAGCGGCGGGACGACGCCTGCGGAGTCCGCAGCGGATGGCGACGCCGCGGTGTGGACCACGAGGTCACGCCCAAGCGAGGGCGCCGGCGGCGTGGAGAAGACGGAGCCGATGCTCCTTGTCCCGATCGGAGCCGGAATAGAGACGGCATCGAGCGGGAGATTGAGCAGAGCCGCAAGAGAGGCCGGGAGGAAGCCCGCAGCAGTGGAACCGGTGGTGGCGGCGCTCGACATGGCGGCGGCGCGATCGGTGGCGCGGCGGCGGCGGTGAAGGCGGCGGCGGCGGCGGCGGCGGTGCGGGTATTAGGGTTTAGAAGCGGAAGCGATCGTAACCTAGCGTGATACCATGTAAGACAATAAGTTTTGGGGAACCAGCACAACCCTCTAGGGGTGGCTTATCTCATTATATATAATGGTTGTGTTACAATATGTACCATATACGTACATAGGTACAGAAGCTATACATAGTCTAACAATGAGCATAGGCATCGCCCGAGTTGCGGCGACCGCTCTCTTCTCATGCTGCTGCCTGATGGTTGCACTTCCAGCTAGCGCTGCCGTGACCAGATCAGGTGGCAGCAGTGGACCACTGTACAACGCCATCTTCAACTTCGGTGTAACACCCCCAATATGGGCTGCCACGATATGTATGTAACATGGGCCTTGGCTACGAGATGGGCTGGTCATCGGAGGCTTGGTCGCACACACAAGCTACATATGCAACCGGCAAGCACAGGAGGAGGGCATCGAAGGAATGAATCGTTCTCCAAGTCTCTCGTCCCCTGGCTCCAGTTCCTCACCTCCTGCTCTCTCTATTCCTCTCTTTGCTTGCTGATTCTCACCCCCGATTCTCCCTGTATCCCTCAATTTATACCCGAATATTGGTACTAATCCAGTTGCTCGTCCCATCCTTGAGTCTGGGTCGTGACAATTTGGTATTCAGAGCCAAGAGAAAAATCACCACCCACTTCCTGCCTACCAGGTGTTCGACCAAATGTCCAGCCACGAAGAGTTGTTCACCGGCGGCGTTCTCCACGTCACTGTGCATCATGTGTACTACCCGGTCACTGAGGAGACGCTGCAACAGGTGTTTACATTGTATGGTGTGGTGAAGATCTCCGTGTTCCAGAGAATCGACCATGTGGAGGCAGTGGTTCAACTTCGATCAAGACGCGGAGCAGCGCAGGCTCTTGCCATGCATGGTCGGTGCATCTATGAGCGTGCCTGCCTCCTCGACATCCAGGATGTGTCACCGGAGTACAACCTGCACTTGTGCTTGCTCCTCGAGCAGAAGCAGACTGCAACCGTGGCCGAGTACACGGCGGCGTTCTGGGAATGCGTACATCATGTGCTAGATCTCAACCCCAACCTGAGCATCAAGAGTTTCGTCCACCAATACATTGAGGGCTTGCGGGGAGATATCAAGGATGTCGTGCGGTCGCGATCTCCATTAAGCATCACCGGTGCTTCGTCCCTTGCCCGGATAAGGGAGGATGAAATCGTGCAGGAGGCGGCAATGGCTGCGGAGAAACTTGATGACGGCCATGGAGTTCACGTCCTCATGCCTACGGTGATCCTCACGGAAGTCTTCCTCGAGCTCACTGCCCCAGTGGGGTGCAGTGCAGACCACAACATCATCACCATTGACAGCAACAACCATGCTGCACCGACGCCTATCACATGTTTGACAGAGTGCCCGAGTCACGCCGCCGCCGTTGACATCTCCCCTGAGCTGGCAGCTTCTGCTCTATGCGGAGAGACCGTCGACATCGAAGCCATCAGTGTTGCTGCACCAACATTCGATGTGTGTTCTATTGTTGGTCCGACCAATGCTGAAGTCAACAGTTATGTGCCGGTGCCCCTCATTGTCGTGGTTAAATTGGACCAAAGTACCCTACAACGGTAACAATATCTCAAGCGAGCGGTAGAAAAAAATGATATCTGAAGCATGACTATTTTGGAAACATTCCTCACAGATGGAGAAGCGAAAAATACATGAACAAATAAAGTGGCCAGGCCATGCAGTTTGTATCCTAACATATGCTCTAAACATGCAGAAATTAATGACACTCGGCGCAGTTGACATTGTGGTGTCAAACATTGCTCCGATGGGTTGCTTTCCATTTTACCTGAGCATGTTCGAGAGCACCAACAAAAGTGACTATGACAAGTACGGGTGCCTGAGAAACCACAACGCGCTGTTCAAAAGGCACAACTCTTTCCTCCAGAGCAGCCTCTCAAAGCTTCAAAAGAAGCATCCACGCACACGGATCATGTATGCCGACCTCGCAAGCCACATCTACCAAATAGTGCAAGATCCCAGAAAATTCGGTGAGTCTCGGCAACCATGTTACCGATGCCTCACAAAATGAGCAGGCAATGATTCTTTCTTTCAAAAGAACAATTATTAGTAGGGAATTCACTCAGGAATAATTGAGCAACCGGCCAAATTTAACGATTCAAACATCACTAGGCTCAAGAATAGCAACAAAATTTCAACGTTCAGTGTTAATAAAATATTTGTGTTCCACTATAAAAATCAATACCACTTGAATTTGGGCCAGGTTTTAAAGGAAACCAGGCCAGTTTTTTCTCGAGTTTCAGTTAAGTTCAAATGTAATTTCAGTAGTTTGAGCAAATTAAACACCAATATCGTTTTTTTTTTTTTTGCTCTTCCTGTTGTTGCTACAATTCAAACTGAGAAAATGAAATTGTGAACCCTGAATGTCACCTAAATATGGTTAGACTGATTTCGTTATGCAGGCTTTGAGACCGCCCTCATGAGCTGTTGCGGAAAGGCCGGTGCACCGCATAGATTTGATCCGTTCACCTTGTGCGGGATGGATGGCTCGAGCGTTTGCCATGACCCAGGGAGCCACCTCCTCTGGGATGGTATGCACCTGAGCGACACTGCTAACAGACGGATCGCCGAGGGCTGGCTCAGCGGCCCGTACTGCCACCCACCAATTCTGCAGTGAAGGTCCTAGCCAAATGGGTGCATATACACGCACAAACGGACTTCTGGGGACTGCATGCATCTGTTGTGTGTACTTCCTTTGTGGGAACATCCTATGTACCGAAATTACAAAACAATATTGAAACATGCTGTTTTCTGGTGCTGATTAATGTGGTTGATGCAAGCTACAAACACGCATGAAAGTGGATGCGGGGCATCAGATTCCCAAGTGTGTCCTTTTTTTGCGAGGGAGATTCCCAAGTGCGTCCAACACCACAAATTTGGTCCATGTGTTCGGCTGATTTGCGCGGCTTTGTCGGTTGTGAAAGAGTGAACGGGTCAGAGCAAAAGAGACTAGTGCACACATAATTGACTTAAATGGTGTTATGTGCAAATACCCCGATGTAAATCAACATTCTCACCCAGATACATGCATCTGTATTTAAAAATAGAGTTGTATTTGTGCGATTTTAATTATAGAATAACTAACAGAGAAATACTTGGATAATAGTTGTATCCAACTATTCACCATGTGATTCTAATATCTGAGTAGGAGAATCTTCACAACTACGATCTGCAGCCACCAGATAAGCGTTGACATGTCTGGCCAACTGGTTGCATTCCCGTCAGAGCTTTGAGCCGGCCATTTCGGTAACTAGTTACACCACGCCCCAAACATGGTGTTTTGCGCAAAAGATAAATAGCAATGGTCATGTGTAACAACCGAAAGTGGTGGCTTTTTGTAATTTACATGTAATAATTGTTACAAGGTCTAGAATATAGGAATCTATAACATCCTAAGAAAATACACTTGGAAGAAGCTCCTTGTAACATACGTATATAGGTGACTAGGCACTAAATCTGCTTCTTTGTAGAGAATATAAATCAAGTCACTAGAGGTGACAAAAATACTACTTGATGTGAAGTTGTAAATCATTAGTAATTAATTCTGAAATAAATGGTATTCAAACACATACATACCTGATTTTTTTTTTTGAGAAGAACATACATACATACCTGATAGGTCAATATGCAAGCAAGCTGTGAAGCCCACATACAAGTATATCAAAAGTCAATTCTATGTTAATCTAAAGAAAAGACACTAGGTTGACTTTTACTACACTTACATGTGGGTTTATGCAGGCTCCCGCTTGCAGCTCTAACTGACAGGTTCAAACTGCATGCATACTTGAACCAGCAGTTACGATCCCTTTTTCTTCATGTTCCTCATTCCCATGAGCAGCGAGCACATCATGTGCAAAGCTTTTTCATTGGTAGCGGTAGAGATTACACAAAATGGTATTAGAAACCTTCAACACCCCATTTGACAGTGTTGTATGACTCATGATTGCCAGTTTTCATTATCCCTGTTCCACAGTTCGTTTTTTCTCTCAAGTGCCTTGGTGTTGATGGAACATAAGCAGAGCCCTTGGGCACTTATGTTCTACATTCTGCAGCAGAACCAAAAAGTTGGAAGTCGGTGAGTGAAACCAAGGTAATTTGTCTAATAATAAAACAAGGAAACACACAACCAGCACATACAAAAAATGGCACATTCCCTTCTTTATCAAGATTAGCTCTTGTCCAAGTAAAATAAAATGGTGAAAACAAGGAGCCATCTTGTTTTATTTAGCCTATCATAGTAAAAGATACAATACTAGAAGCATATCTTCCGCCCATAATAAACCAACTGGGAGTGTGGGACTGGCAGTGTCACAGTATACAGATTTAGAGTATATTGTTACGTTTAAAAGGCAAACTATTCAGAAAAGAAGGGCACGCATAATCAAAACACGAGTGATATGGTCAAGAGCTCTTCTAGCAATTTTTCATTGTTATTAAGTCAGATAATTTGATATATTGCTCAAAGGGGCTAAACAACTGGTAGGTCATCAAGGTAGCACTTGCTACCAAGAGGAAGGCACCAAAAAAATGGCATCATTCATTGAACACAACATGACTTTAGTTTCATATAATCTCCTTTCATCGTGCTAGCAAGTCACCAGAGTTTAGTAGATTCTGCAGGTCAGATTTCCTTAGTCATATGAAGTTCATAACTACAACCTAGCTCAACAATGAAAAACAAAAGGAGCAAATAAATGTAGATTAGTTTAAGTCATTGCCCATGTAGACATTTGTCCCACGAGTCAAGACCAATATACAAGGGCAGTTGGCGCAAAGAAGATATCCCGTGCCGCCTTACAAAACTTGGGCAAAATACAAATAGAAATTTTACATGAATATAGAAAGGACAGCTTCCAAATGACCCCCCTTGGCAGGATGATTTGCCTGAGGTGACAAACAAGGAACAGAGCAGAATCCTGCTGTGCTGTGTATCATTGTGGAACGCCTGGAAGGAACACAACCACAAAATATTCAGACATAAAAGGCTCACTTTCCAGGAGGTGGCCTCCCTCACTCGTAATGCCATCGACCGGTGATGACACCATTGGACGGCGTAGTGTCCAATTTTTTTGGAGTAATCTGACATATTTTTGCTTATGGTTCCTGTTCCATTTCCCATTAAAACAGGCCCCCACCATCAATTGTGACCACGCACTATTTTCACCTTAAGTAGGCGGTGCTCTTGCCCAGTTTCTTGGAAGAAGAAAAAAAGGAATTATGTCAATAGACCAATAGAGGTGCTAGCTGGGATCAATGTGAAGTGTTAACTGAGACCAGGGTACAAGAGAACTTTAATCAGTTCGCAAATATCCAATCGTGGTCTTCTAGTGTCCTATACAAGGACATAATCACATAATATCTTAACCTGATGACAGCAATAACCATTCTTCTAACCTAAGCAACAGTGTGCTAGTACCTAGTCAAGGATTTATGAACAACTTGTATTCACATGATAGGATCTGGAAAAATAATAAATCAAATACTTGCTCACTTCACATCATCATGTGGCATGAAGAAGAAACTTCATCCTTTCTAACCCTTCAATGGAGTATCGGCATTAATAACGCTCAGCAAGGCATGAGCCAAGAAGTGCTCCAAAGAGATTTATAGTCATCAGTTAATTCAGTGCTCCACAAATACAACAAGGTTCCTACATACCACAATTCACCCTGAGCTTGGAAGTAGCCCATCCCTTGTCATGCCACGGAGGACATCAACCAGAGCGTCCACGTTACCTTCCTTCCGATTGAGATCAATAAGAGCCTTCGATGTTTCTGCATCTGCTAGCGAACAGCAATTCAGCAACTCCTGAATCACGGTATCTGCTTCAACAGTCATCCCCTCTTCAAATAGGCCCCTGACCAATGAAATAGTGCTTGTTGAATTAGGAGGAAAACCACACTGCAGCATTTTCTTATGGAAGTTGAGAGCCTTCAGAATATTTCCTCCCCGGCAATGCCCATGAATAAGTACACCATACACCGAACCGTCAAGCTTCCAATCTCTGTCCAACATCGACTGGTAAACTTTGTCAGCTTCATTCATCAAGCCTTTCATGGAGAATCCCTTAAGAAGAGCCACCACACTCTTAAACTCAGCTTTCCTGCAACAACGCATCAGGGCCTCATATTTAATATTGTCTGGAATAGGGTCTTCGTAGTACAGCTTGAAGAGTAACCGTTGTGCTTCCTTTGTACGTGCTGACTTGCTAAGCCCATCTATAAGCACACTGTATGTCACAACATCAGGGAGAACTCGTTTCTTTATCATCTCATCGTGCAGAGAAAGAGCTTTCTCAACATCCCCCTCCTTGCAATGGCCATCAATCAGTATTGTATAAGTAAATTCATCAGGATGTAGGCCAAGTTGAAGCATCTTCTCAAAGAGTTCACATGCATCACTGAGTCTTTTCTCCTCGCAAAGACCCCTTATGAGCGATGAGTAGGTGATTGCATCTGGAATCACACCTTTTTTCAGCATTTTTCGGTTCAATTCAAATGCAGAATCTGTATCACCAATCTTACAGTACCCATTGAGAATCGTACTATATGTCACGACGTCAGGCTTCACTCCTTTAGCCTCTATTTCATCGACCAACTCCCTCGCTTCGTCCATTCTTCCTAACTTGCAGTAACCATTGATGAGTGCATTGTAGCACACTACCGAAGGCTTGATCCTGCATTCCCTCATCTCCTTCAGTGCGAGCAATGCGTCATCTAAGAAGCCGTTCTTGCAGAACCCATCTATCAGTGCTGTGAAGGCGATCTCATTCATCCGGAGGCCCCTCTCCCTCATCTGCCCCACCAGGGCCACTGCCCGCTCCAAGTTCCCAGCCCTGCACATCGCAACATCCGGCGAGACCCCTTTCTGAGACATCTCCGAGAACACCGTCAGTGCCTCATGCAGGCAGCCTGCCTTGCAGTACCCACTCACCAAGGTGTTATAACTGACCCCATCGGGGGCCAATCCCTCCCTTGCCATTCCGTCGAACACCTTGCGGGCGTCCTCCATCCTCCCCGCCTTGCACATCCCGTTCACCACCGTGTTGAACGTCACCAGGCTCGGCCTCACCCCGGCCTCCCGCATCGCGGCGACGAGCCTCTCGGCGCCGCCCACGTCCCCGGCCCTACAGAACGCGGCGACGAGCGTGTTGTAGGTGACGGCGTTGGGCGCGCACCCCGCGGCGCGCATGTCGCCGTCCACGACGGCGGCGAGCGCCTCCTCGCGGCGGCCGCGGGCGCAGAGCGCGCGGACGAGGATGTTGTAGGTGTACACGTTGGGGGCCACGCCGGCGCGGAGCATGGAGCCCTCAAGGAAGCCCCGCGCGGAGGAGAGCGAGGCCTCGGAGAGCGCGAGGAGCACGGCGTTGTAGGCGGGGAGGGAGGGGGCGTAGCCCGCCGACCTGGCGAACGCGAGCGCCGCGGCGGCGAGGGACGGGGACGGGAGGGAGGCGTAGGCCCTGATGAGCGCGTCGAAGGGCCGCGGCGGCGGCGGGGACGGGAGGAGGCGGAGCGCGGAGAGCAGCGCGAGGAGGAGCGGCAGCGGCGGGAAGGAGGCCGCGAGGCGGGAGGCGGCCTGGGGCGAGAGCGGGAGGTGGCGCCGGCGGAGCGGGGGCGGGAGGGGCGGCGTGCGCGGGGTCGGGTTGAGGAGCGCCGCGAGGTGCGCGTGCTGCACCGGGTGCTGGCGGAGGCTGCCGGAGGCGCCCGCCGCTTGCCGCGCGGCCGCCATGCTTAGGTGCGAGGCGGCGGCGCACGGGCCTGCGGCATTCGGGTCAGCCGGGAGTGCCGACTTGGTGGGACCCGGTGGTCAGCTGGCCACTGACCCAACGGCCGCCGGCCAAATTCACCGTTTTGACCTTAACGCTGGGCCAAATCTCTCACGATTTGGTTGGTTGGAGTTGTAAATTTTGATGGCATTTTTTATGTGAGCCCTGACCCTAGTTTTGAAGATTTCTTACAAGTCCTTGCTGAATTATTGAAACTGTGGTTTGTGATGTGTACTAACCCTTAGTTTTTGTCAAATATTAGTGATTTGTGATGTGGATGACCTAGGGTTAGAGTTAGAATTTGTATGAGATGGATTCACGGTGAAAAAAACCGATTGTTACATAAAAGTCACCGGTCAGGAGTACAGAATACCATTGTTTTGTGATCTTAGCCTGCCCCATAAGGTTGTAGATGGTGTCGGATTTCGAGTTCCGGCAGATCCTCAAGTTTCGAACTCTGGGGTGCACGCGAAGATCACACCCCCTGCCTACCCATGTCTCGTCGCCTCGCAAGGATCTAAACTACACGAAGAACAACACAGAGGACACGAGATTTATACTGGTTCAGGCCACCATTGCAGTGTAATACCCTACTCCAGTGTGTGGTGTGGTGGATTGCCTCTGGGGGCCGATGATGAATAGTACAAGAGAAGAACAGCCTCGCGAGGGTCTGTTCTTGGCTGGTGCGATGAACTGGTATGGGAGTTCAGTCGCCTCTCTCTCTCTCTGTATCAAATGCCTCTAGTCTCCTCCGACTTCAGGTGCGGATCCGGGGTCCCCCTACCCTACGGGTGGCTAGTCCTATTTATAGGCGGAGGCCCTGGGCCTCTTCCCAAATATTAAGCGGGAAGGGCGCCAACAATTGGCCATTTTGAAGGGGAACATCTGGTACACATATCCTGACTAAAGTCGGTCCTCGCCTGCAAAAGACCCTGACGATGACGCCGGCTTGGGCTCCACGATGACCTACATCCTGTCGTCCTGCTGGTCTTGGTCTTGTTGCACCGAAATGGTTGCCTTTGCTTGATACTCTTGAAGGAAATATGCCCTAGAGGCAATAATAAAGTTATTATTTATTTCCTCATATCATGATAAATGTTTATTATTCATGCTAGAATTGTATTAACCGGAAACATGATACATGTGTGAATACATAGACAAACATATAGTCACTAGTATGCCTCTACTTGACTAGCTCATTAATCAAAGATGGTTATGTTTCCTAACCATTGACATGTGTTGTCATTTGATTAATGGGATCACATCATTAGGAGAATGAGGTGATTGACATGACCCATCCCGTTAGCTTAGCACTTGATCGTTTAGTATTCTGCTATTGCTTCCTTCATGACTTATACATGTTCCTGTAACTATGAGAATTGTGTAACTCCCGTTTACCGGAGGAACACTTTGGGTACTACCAAACGTCACAACGTAACTGGGTGATTATAAAGGAGTACTACAGGTGTCTCCGAAGGTACATGTTGAGTTAGCATAATTCGAGATTAGGTTTTGTCACTCCAATTGTCGGAGAGGTATCTCTGGGCCCTCTCGGCAATGCTCATCACCTAAGCCTTGCAAGCATGTAACTAATGAGTTAGTTATAAGATGAAGTATTACAGAACGAGTAAAGAGACTTGTCGATAACAAGATTGAACTAGGTATTGGATACCGACGATCGAATCTCGGACAAGTAACATACCGATGACAAAGGGAACAACGTATGTTGTTATGCGGTTTGACCGATAAAGATCTTCGTAGAATATGTAGGAACCAATATGGGCATCCAGGTCCCGCTATTGGTTATTGACCAGAGATGTGTCTCAGTCATGTCTACATCGTTCTCGAACCGTAGGGTCCGCACGCTTAAGGTTTCGATGACAGTTATATTATGAGTTTATGTATTTTGATGTACCGAAGGTTGTTCGGAGTCCCGGATATGATTACGGACATGACGAGGAGTCTCGAAATGGTCGAGACATAAAGATTGATATATTGGACGGATATATTTGGACAGCGGAAAGGTTCCGGAGAAGTTTGGAGCCCCGGGAGGTTACCGGAACCCCCCGGGAGGTATATGGGCCTTATTGGGCCCATGTAGGAGGAAGAGAGAAGGAGCAAGGGAAGGGGCGCGCCCCCCCAAGCCCAATCCGAATTGGGGAAGGGGGGCGGCCCCCCCTTTCCTTTCTCCTTCCCCCTCTTCCTATTACTACTACTAGTACTACTTCCTAATACTAGTACTCTTTCCTTCCCCCTCCAAATAAGATAAGGAAAAGAGAGGGAAACCTACTTGGAGTAGGTTTCCCCCTCCTCATGGCGCGCCCCCCTTAGGGCCGGCCACCTCCTCCCTCCCTCCTTTATATACGGGGGTAGGGGGGCACCCTAGAACACACAAGTTGATCATTGATCGTTCCTTAGCCGTGTGCGGTGCCCCCTCCACGATATTACACCTCGGTCATATTGTAGCGGTGCTTAGGCGAAGCCCTGCAACAGGAGAACATCAAGATCGTCACCACGCCGTCGTGCTGACGGAACTCCCCCTCGGCGCCTCTGCTGGATCGGAGATCGAGGGTGCGTCATCGAGCTGTACGCGTGTCAAGAACTCGGAGGTGCCGGAGTAACGGTACTTGGATCGGTTGAACCGGAGGACATACGACTACTTCCTCTACGTTGCGTCAACGCTTCCGCTTCGGTCTACGAGGGTACGTAGACAACACTCTCCCCTCGTTGCTATATCATCACCATGATCTTGCGTGTGCGTAGGAAAATTTTGAAATTACTACGTTCCCCAACAGTGGCATCCGAGCCTAGGTTTTATGCGTTGATGTTATATGCACGAGTAGAACACAAGTGAGTTGTGGACGATATAAGTCATACTGCCTACCAGCATGTCATACCTTGGTTCAGTGGTATTGTGAGATGAAGCGGCCCGGACCGACATTACGCGTACGCTTACGCGAGACTGGTTTCACCGTTACGAGCACTCGTGCTTAAAGGTGGCTGGCGGGTGTCTGTCTCTCTCACTTTAGTTGAACCGAGTGTGGCTACGCCCGGTCCTTGTGAAGGTTAAAACGGAGTCTAGTTGACAAACTATCGTTGTGGTTTTGATGCGTAGGTGAGATTGGTTCTTGCTTAAGCCCGTAGCAGCCACGTAAAATTTGCAACAACAAAGTAGAGGACGTCTAACTTGTTTTTGCAGGGCATGTTGTGATGTGATATGGCCAAGACATGATGCTATATTTTATTGTATGAGATGATCATGTTTTGTAACCAAAGTTATCGACAACTGGCAGGAGCCATATGGTTGTCGCTTTATTGTATGAAATGCAAACGCCCTGTAATTGCTTTACTTTATCACTAAGCGGTAGCGATAGTCGTAGAAGCAATAGATGGCGTAACGACAACGATGCTACGATGGAGATCAAGGTGTCGCGCCGGTGACGATGGTGATCACGACGGTGCTTCGAAGATGGAGATCACAAGCACAAGATGATGATGGCCATATCATATCACTTATATTGATTGCATGTGATGTTTATCCTTTATGCATCTTATCTTGCTTTGATTGACGGTAGCATTTTAAGATGATCTCTCACTAATTATCAAGAAGTGTTCTCCCTGAGTATGCACCGTTGCGAAAGTTCTTCGTGCTGAGACACCACGTGATGAGCGGGTGTGATAGGCTCTACGTTCAAATACAACGGGTGCAAAACAGTTGCACACGCGGAATACTCAGGTTATACTTGACGAGCCTAGCATATACAGATATGGCCTCGGAACACGGGGACCGAAAGGTCAAGCGTGAATCATATAGTAGATATGATCAACACAGAGATGTTCACCATTGAAACTACTCCATCTCACGTGATGATCGGACATGGTTTAGTTGATTTGGATCACGTAATCACTTAGATGACTAGAGAGATGTCTGTCTAAGTGGGAGTTTTTTAGTAATATGATTAATTGAACTTAAATTTATCATGAACTTAGTACCTGATAGTATTTTGATTGTCTATGTTTGTTTGTAGATAGATGGCTCGTGCTGTTGTTCCGTTGAATTTTAATACGTTCCTTGAGAAAACAAAATTGAAAGATGATGGTAGCAATTACACGGACTGGGTCTGTAACCTGAGGATTATCCTCATTGCTGCACAGAAGAGTTACGTCCTAGAAGCACCGCTGGGTGCCAGGCCTGCTGCTGATGCAGCTGACGACGTTAAGAACGTCTGGCAGAGCAAAGCTGATGACTACTCTATAGTTCAGTGTGCCATGCTTTACGGCTTAGAACCGGGTCTTCAACGACGTTTTGAACGTCATGGGGCATATGAGATGTTCCAGGAGTTGAAGTTAATATTTCAAGAAAATGCCCGGATTGAGAGATATGAAGTCTCCAATAAGTTCTACAGCTGCAAGATGGAGGAGAACAGTTCTGTCAGTGAGCATATACTCAAAATGTCTGGGTATAATAATCACTTGATTCTACTGGGAGTTAATCTTCCGGATGATAGCGTCATTGACAGACTTCTCCAATCACTGCCACCAAGCTACAAGAGCTTTGTGATGAACTATAATATGCAAGGGATGAACAAGACTATTCCCGAGCTCCTCGCGATGCTGAAAGCCGCGGAGGTAGAAATCAAAAAGGAGAATCAAGTGTTGATGGTCAACACGACCACTGGTTTCAAGAAAAGGGGCAAAGGGAAGAAGAAGGGGAACTTCAAAAGGAACAGCAAACAAGTTGCTGCTCAAGTGAAGAAACCCAAGTCTGGACCTAAGCCTGAAACTGAGTGCTTCTACTGCAAGCAGACTGGACACTGGAAGCAGAACTGCCCCAAGTATTTGGCGGATAAGAAGGATGGCAAAGTGAACAAAGGTATATGTGATATACATGTTATTGATGTGTACCTTACTAATGCTCGCAGTAGCACCTGGGTATTTGATACTGGTTCTGTTGCTAACATTT